ACATCACCACCCTGCTGTTTGATGTGTTCTGTATCAGACTGAAAGTCACTACCAAACAGCAGAGGTCCGATCAATACTTCTCTTATATTGTCCTGATTTATCACTAAAGAAATATGTAACGAATTATAGGATACAAACTTAAATAGAGATGTTTTTACATTTTTTTTTTATTTCTTAAATTCCATCTCTCTCTCTCTCCCTCACGTTGTTATTTCTAACATTCCATCAGCCTCTCTCTCTCTCTCTCTCTCTCTCTCTCTCTCTCTCTCTCTCTCTCTCTCTCTCTCTCTCTCTCTCTCTCTCTCTCTCTCTCTCTCTCTCTCTCTCTCTCTCTCTCTCTCTCTCTCTCTCTCTCTCTCTCTCTCTCTCTCTCTCTCTCTCTCTCTCTTTGTTATTTCTAACATTCCATCATCCTCTCTCTTTCTCTCTCTTAAACTTATGAAAGTATGGTTTCTTTTCCACTTGTTATTGTGCGATTTTATTATCCTTTTGCCATCTTTTTACGCTTAGAAAATAAATCGCAATAAGATGACAAATTATTACACTAAAATTGACACAAAAAGTATTTGTTCTTGGGCAGCAGACAACATATATAACGACCTAGTGAAAAAATCCGGAACCAATGCTAAATCCGGAACCAATGCTAAATCCGGAACCAGTGCTAAATATATATCTATATATATATATATATATTACATTAATTAGACTCAGTTACAGACTTATATCTGTTAGACTACAAGTGTTACCTAGGCAAACATGTCTTTCGTGTCTGATGGACGTTCTCCAAAGCAGCTTCTAAAGGGAACGAATGAACGTTTCTGATGAAATATTTTATGTATAAATACTTGGAACACATGTAACAGGTTGTCTAATTGCCTTTTACTGCATAGGTAAAGGTGTAAATGCCACAGAAGAGGATCCATGTCTGGTCAAGTGACACCTCAACATTTCTTACTGACGGTGTTTCCGTGAAAGGACAGCACCGCTAAACCGAAACTGCTGTCGCAATATCAGAACACTGTTACTGCGATACAATAAAAACAATGTTTCCATTCATGTTACGTCACAGAATCCCGAAATCAGTGAATTAACATAAATAATGCATTAATCATTCGCCAAAAACGGATAACACCGCTAGCAAACAAACAAATCTGCCGCCGCGAAATGATGACATATTCTAGATGAAACATTAACACTGCCCTGGAAAATAATGAGATAGTCACCACGAAATGATACCATTACTACTACACTAAATGCCACCTACATCGAAATAAAAACTCTTATCAAGCGGATAAAACATTTTCATTAATTTACAACGCGGTTAAAAGCATCACGTGTGAATTAAATCACGTGACCGACATGTCATACAGCGATAAGACATGTCATACCTTAGCTCAATTTTCTCAGAATTGATGTCACGGCATCATGACGTCACATTGAAGGCGATATAAAATGGATGAGTATGACGACACCGAGAACTTTGTGATTGTTATAAACAAATGATTTTATATATAAACAGATGTGTCATAGATATCTAGGTGTAATATCACGAAAGAGATAATTTTACAGAGCCTCGATAAATAATCACATATGATGATACGACCATTAAATATCTACAGAAATTAACTATCAACAGAACGTATACACGTTAACTGAACACACGTTGTGTACTTCTACCTCAAACCGTCTCGGTCTGTAAACAGAATGCTAATGTCCAGGAAACTAGAGAAGAGTATAATAAATGCCACATATGTATATTGTTACACTTACATCCCTCTTACCGAATTTCTTTGATGTTTTATTTGATTGCGTATTGCATACATAACATGGGAAAAAAGAAAGGCGGGAATAAGAGATGCTATTTAATTTAGTTCTAAATGCAGCGTGAAATGCCGAGGCGACATTTAAAATGTATTTATAGTTTTCAAAGTGTTAATGCCAACTTATCATATTTCTATTTCCAGCTTCCGTGTGTTCAGGTCTCGGTGAGAATTCTTTACACGTCTCGCCGTGTCAACGTTGACTGTAGCTATGACCCACTTAACACAGTATTCACATTACTAAAGTTCATGTATTACTAAGCACATTATATACATTGTGTACAGTATATAAAACACTTTGTAAACATTATTATGTAAAATATTGAACACAATGTAAACATTACTGTGTACAATATATAACACAATGTAAAAATTACTGTGTACAGTATAACACAATGTAAACATTACTGTGTACATATATATAACACAATGTAAACATTACTATGTACATATATATAACACAATGTAAACATTATTGTGTACATATATATAACACAATGTAAACATTATTGTGTACAATATATAACACAATGTAAACATTACTGTGTACAATATATATAACACAATGTAAACATTACTGTGTACACTATATATAACACAATGTAAACATTACTATATACATGAATATATAACACAATGTAAACATTACTGTGTACAATATAACACAATGTTAACATTACTGTGTACAATATATAACACAATGTAAACATTACTATGTACAGTATATATAACACAATGTAAACATTATTGTGTACAATATATATAACACAATGTAAATATTACTATGTACAATATATATAACACGATGTAAATATTACTATGTACAGTATAACACAATGTAAACGTTACTGTGTACAATATATATAACACAATGTAAACATTACTGTGTACAATATATATAACACAATGTAAACATTACTGTGTACAATATATATAACACAATGTAAACATTTCGATGTACAATATTACACAATGTATACAGTACTTTGTACAATATATATAACACAATGTAAACATTACTGTACAATATATATACAATGATATATATAACACAATGTAAACATTACTGTGTACATATATAACACAATGTAAACATTACTATGTACAGTATAACACAATGTAAACATTACTATGTACAGTATATATAACACAATGTAAACATAATTATGTACAGTATATATAACACAATGTAAACATTACTATGTACAATATATAACACAATGTAAACATAACTATGTACAGTATAACACAATGTAAACATTACTGTGTAAAGTATAACACAATGTAAACATTACTATGTACAGTATATATAACACAATGTAAACATTATTGTGTACAACATATAACACAATGTAAACATTATTGTGTACAATATATAACACAATGTAAACATTACTGTGTACAATATATAACACAATGTAAACATTACTATGTACAGTATATATAACACAATGTAAACATTACTGTGTACAATATATAACACAATGTAAACATTACTATGTACAGTATAACACAATGTAAACATTACTATGTACAATATATAACACAATGTAAACATTACTGTATACAATATATATAACACAATGTAAACATTACTATGTACAATATATATAACACAATGTAAACATATAACACAATGTAAACATTATTATGTACAGTATAACACAATGTAAACATTACTGTGTACAATATATATAACACAATGTAAACATTACTGTATACAATATATATAACACAATGTAAACGTTACTATGTACAGTATAACACAATGTAAACATTACTATGTACATATATAACACAATGTAAACATTACTATGTACAATATATATAACACTGTGTACAATATATATAACACAATGTAAACATTATTATGTACAATATATATAACACAATGTAAACATTACTGTGTACAGTATAACACAATATAAACAATGTTGCTGTGTACAGTATATATAACACAATGTAAACATTACTATGTACAATATATATAACACAATGTAAACATTATTATGTACAGTATATATAACACAATGTAAACATTACCGTGTACAGTATATATAACACAATGTAAACATTACTATGTACAATATATAACACAATGTAAACATTACTATGTACCGTATAACACAATGTAAACAATATATATTGTGTACAATATATAACACTATGTAAACATTACTATGTACAGTATATATAACACAATGTAAACATTACTGTGTACAATATATATAACACAATGTAAACATTACTATGTACAATATAACACAATGTAATCATTACATATATATGTAAACATTGTACATATATATAACACAATGTAAACATTACTGTGTACAGTATATATAACACAATGTAAACATAATTATGTACAGTATATATAACACAATGTAAACATTATTATGTACAGTATATATAACACAATGTAAACATAATTATGTACAGTATATATAACACAATGTAAACATTACTGTGTACAGTATATATAACACAATGTAAACATTATTATGTACAATATATAACACAATGTAAACATTACTATGTACACTACATATAACACGTTATTATACAGTACACTTTGACTTATACATACTATACTGTAATTCCGTTATCTCGAATTTTATAATGATCTCGGCGACTGTATCGAGAGGAAACATCCAGGTATTGAGCTTCAGTACCCTATACCTGACCGAAAGTTTTACCATACAAATATTGACTTGTCCTCAGGCCGGAGTGATTAGAGTGTCATTTTAACCTTACTGGCCAATGTCCGGTGTCATTTCTTTCTTGACACAATTTATGATACACACACAGCGACAGTGACGTAATTAAGCTAAGGTATTAGTTATCAGAATGTCAACCTATAATTTTCACATGATCTAGTGTACCTGTGTGTTAGTGATTTAAATATTAGGTCAAAGGCATTTATAGCTAACGTGTTTGACATATATGAATAGGTGTTTAGAGTTACCTCAGGGCTACGCTACAAATATAACAAATATGATAAAATTTTTCATAAATCTTTTATGCATACACAGAGAACGAAATTCATTTTAGCATGTTCAGCGGTTTATGTGCGCCCTGTAATACACATGGCCATAGTACGCAAGTAGGTGACCCCCGGATTGTGTTAGTGTGTATGTACATACGTTGGGAACGGACTCAAGCTCCTACGTGCTTCAGGAATAAGCAATGGATCAGTGTACCTAACGTTAGGGATGACCACAGCATTGCGACAGTCAACTGTCCATAAGTGACCAGTGTCCTAGAACAGAGATTTCGCAATGGAAATTATTTATAAAAAATACGCACTAACATATGGAATTTATATTCTAGTCAACGTGAAAAATATTTAAATTGTGATTATCTAAGAAGTAATCGGATTCCTTTGGATTTACACGTATTTTAAGTTAATTATCACATGAATTTGTAAACGATGGAGCGCATGGTTTTGAAATGTTTTTTAGCGTGTGTTGTGACTATACTTATCTCCGATCCGACCCTAGCGGACGAAAGGGTGGGGCGGAAATTATCCCGGAGTAAGAGGTTTATTGAGATGGCTGATGATGTGAGTGGACCATTCTGCGCCACCCGCCCGGATGGTCAGTGTTGTCCAGGGAGGGACGACACGTGCACTGTTCCTATACTGGACTCGACCTGTTATTGTGATGTGTTTTGTAACGAAACAGCATCCGACTGCTGTCCGGATTTCTTCAGCTTCTGTCACGGTATCAATCCGGAGCCCATCACTCGTGAGTATACAAACAACAAATCCATTTAAACAACAGCCCTTTATTGTCAGAATAACTGCTCTATTTTCATGATTGTTCGAACGGATGAAAGTAACCCAAATTCAGAATGAAGTCCCTTACAAAGACTGCCTCTATCTCTCATAGATCAAGGTTAGGTACTCCTATGTCACTTAACATTGCCATCTCTTCACTCCATCTATATAGGACGCCATAACGTTTAAGTCTACATTGACGGCAAGGAGGACATTGTTCTGCTGTAGTATTCCCCAGCCTTTTTTACAAGAAATTTTCGTGTCCAATTTGAAATGTGAAACCCATAACACTTGATGGTAATCCGTCGACAAACATGGAGTGATCCACGAAACATTACAGACGTTTTATATGAGGTCAGATTATCAAGACCACCGATCATTGGCCACCATCTTAGAACACAGAAAAATTTTGATCAAGGAAATATTTATTAGGTATTAGTATGCCAGCGTAGCCTTGGATGAGAGCTCTAGAACAATTATTGCTCTAGAAGACTCATTATCAAATAACCTGTTCAGAAGTCACGTTCTAAACATTAGCTTCTTGCTATAAAAATTGATAGGTTGAGCACAGTAACACCATCTCTGAAGTGAATCCTGGTCTTACGGTTTTTCTATAGTAGAAAACAGTATAGCTGTGAAGATCATGTAGTAATGTTTGTTTTGCATCAAACATCGCTTTAATTTTAAATCAAACATTTAGATTCTCAAAGTTTGTATCTGGCGTTGGTGTATTTCTGATGATTTTAGATGTAGTATTGGTGTAATATGTGTCACAGCTATCATAGTATATCATCTGTGTTGTGATGTATTAGTGTTAGTATAATGTCTAGTATTGGCGCAGCATATTGTATCATAGCTAGTATAATCTCTAGTTCTGGCGCAGCATATTGCATTATAACTAGTATAGTTTCTAGTATTGGCGCAGCATATTGTATTATAGCTAGTATAATGTCCAGTATTGGCGCAGCATATTGTATTATAGCTAATATAATGTCCAGTATTGGCGCAGCATATTGCATTATAGCTAGTATAATGTCCAGTATTGGCGCAGCATATTGCATTATAGCTAGTATAATGTCCAGTATTGGCGCAGCATATTGTATTATAGCTAGTATAATGTCCTGTATTGGCGTAGCATAATGTATTATGGCTAGTATAATGTCCAGTATTGGCGCAGCATATTGTATTATAGCTAGTATAATGTCCAGTATTGGCGCAGCATATTGTATTATAGCTAGTATAATGTCCAGTATTGGCGCAGCATAATGTATTATAGCTAGTATAATGTCCTGTATTGGCGTAGCATATTGTATTACAGCTAGTATAATGTCCAGTATTGATGTAGTATAATGTATAACTACTAGAGCTGTGTCTTGTATTCGTGTAATATAATGCATTAAAGTTAGTATAGTATGCAGTATTTATGCAGAATAATGTATTATTTTTAGTTTACTATATAACATCAGCTAGTATAATGCATTATTCCTGGTATGATACATAATAATGGTGTAACATGATGCATTATGAACAGTTATTTTATCTATGTACATATAGACTGATGTAGTTTACTTAATCAAAATGCTGTCAGATTGGTTCAGCAACTTTACTTAAACACATAGTAATCTTAGATTTTATCACACAGTGTGTTAATTAAAGACGACGTGTAGAAAGGATATCAAATATGTGTTAAAAGGAACCAAGTTGAGTTGTACGATACAGGTTGCCACACACCTCTTTGTAAATGTACTGGTTCTGCGATAAAGCTGATTCTGCATGTGTCACGTTTTCTATTTTTGAACAAAGATTTGCATTACATAGAAATGGTGTGGTATCATTTTTGATATCAACGACTGAAAAATGAAATTTAAATTTAAACTATTTGTAATGTACATTTTATGAGTTCAACTGTATTTTATCGCCGTAACACGAATTTAATGTCCCCAACAACCCCAATCTTTTAAACGTAATTTAAAAGTAATCTTTTACAAGAAACATTACCATCGTAATTATTCCTACTAAGTAATCTAGAAATGTGTTCTGCATATAATATTTCTAGTGCTGTTTTGATATTAATATGGTTTACCTGATAATTCTTACCAGTTTTCACTATTCGGAGAGCGATTCCTTTATCAAAACTCAAGTTCTTGACATATGTCACTACTGAACCAACACAAAAGTATCTACTTGTCAACAGAACCTTAACTTAAGCTTAGTTTCGTCGAATATAGTACAGATAGTATGAATAAAGGACAGATTTACAAGAATAACCCTGAAATAGTACACGGAGAATAAAACACCAGGTGTTCCGAAAGAGTAAGCGTCATTCTTCTTCATTCGCTATTTCATCGTGGTCAATCGAAGTAAAGAATGTCACGTTCCCAAATGAGAACAAGATCAACAACAGCAGAACCACAACCATGAAACGCCCAATTTCACCTTGTACATGGAGTTATGTCCACTGTAAAATTTGAACACAATATTCATCAACCCGCATCTTTCGTCGAAACCCCATGTTGTAATTTAATCCGTCAGTTAGCGACACGATAACCGACATACTTGAAGCACTACTTAGAATATCGAAACAACTGTGACGTGTTAACAGCTTTGGTTAGGCAAGCGCGGTGGTTTTTATCCAGAAATGGAGAATTCACAAAAACGGGAAATTTGAATTTTTACCCTAATTATACAGCTTGCTGAAAATCAGTCGTTGTTAGTTTCGTTGTAGGAAAAGATCGTAGTAAATGGCCAACAACTGCAGGAGAGTCTGTCGTGTACTTGACTTCTAATTCTGGTGAAAATTACGATGGCCATAGTCATAAGTTTCGTTTGTTGTCCGAAAATGAAATTGAAGTACAGGGAAATGCTGAAATTTTTTGTGGTCTGCTTTGATAACCTCTTCAATAGATTCAGCCTCCAATGAAAACAAAATTCGAGAGAGAGAGAGAGAGAGAGAGAGAGAGAGAGAGAGAGAGAGAGAGAGAGAGAGAGAGAGAGAGAGAGAGAGAGAGAGAGAGAGAGAGAGATATCTCCCATATTTGTTTCAATGCTCTGTTGGGAGATCATGCTAATAAAACTTAACGAAGATATACTTCCTTAATCAGATCAGCTTTTGCTCTTTGTCAAGAGAATGTTTACGAATGCATTTTTGTGACATGACTGTTGGAAGCATTAGCACATCACGATTCACCACGTTTAAGACAAAATATTTTTATTATCGTAAGGCTACCTTTATTATAAATGCATAGCCACACAGTCGTCTATGAAAAAAGCATTAACATGTATCAAGTTCCTTTCGGAAAACGATAATTTATTAAGGACTAGGCGGGCCATTCTTTCTCCTTGCATTTGGTGGTCAGAATATGTTGTCAAAGACATCCTTATTTCTAAAGAAAATCATCTTAAGATGTAAGCAAGGGAAGAGCATTAGAAATTGAAAGATAATAACGTAAATGGCAGATTCATGTTCAAATTTAATCATCAATATTTAGTATATGTCATATATATATATATAAATCTGCGCAATACAGCAGTTTTTACGGCCTGGGAGTGTTCAAAAATATTGGGTGTCGTAAGAGCGGAGAGAAGAAAGTTTTGAAAATCAACCCAGACTAAACGAATTACAGCATACAGAAAGGGCATTTTACTTGCCCAATTGTTCAGTCAAAGTGATGTTTGTTTGATATAATGAATTTAGAAGAACATCAAATATGTGTGCATAATTACAATCGGTGCGTTTAATAATTCAGACGCGACATGCAAGGTTAAGAAAAACTTCTGGGTCTGAAAAACCAAAAGCGGGTCTAAATACCATATTTTCTTTAAAAGATTTTACAAAGAAAAATAAACTCACATACAAGGATCTAAAACATCCACAAAGTGTGTCCATAGAACTCAAACAATCGTTAGGCCTACGTGAAATAGTAAGGATGGTGTTTCATATCTAAATCTCATTACAATAGATAACTTAATAAGTACGTAATCATTAATCGGAATGATTTTAACGCCTATTTTTAAAAGTGATGCCACAAATTCTGACATATACTATCATTTCAGACTTTGATAAGAGGATGTACCTGATATGAACGAGTGAAATCCAACATATGTGATGTCAATCATTTTAAGATGCCGTTAATATGAATAAGCGACATGTAATATGAAAAGTGGCCCATCGTGTGGTTTCTCCCGTTTACACAACAGTGACAAGTAGATATCGTGGGAAGCTCTACAAAGTTTCGGGCATTACTCGTGTTTGGGTGGAGCGCTTTCGTCAATCTAAGCACGGGATAATTCCGATGTTCGCTGTTATAACACGCTCTCGACTTTAACAACTACTTAAAATAGATATTTAAAGGTTTCTGATGAGATCAGGTTCGGAAAAGTGATCAGTTAACAGAAATAGGAAATGGTCCATGACATGATTTATTGAAAGGTCTTATTTTAGACTGTGTTTCCCATAAATAAGCATTGGTAAACTCGGCGCTGGCCAGAACAGATATATCACACAGTGGCGTCTTCGTTCCGTCTGACAACAACTGTCTGTCAATAATAGCAATCCTTAGCAACATCAGAAAAGATATTGCATAGCAGCTAACGGGGATTGCTGTCAGCATCCGCTTGGTAACGTCTCAAATTGAAATCAATTGTACACCATGTAGGTCCTATTGTGAGACTCTAAACTCATTAGGGAAATGGAATCTCTTGTATGGACTACTTGATCTCGGGACAAAACTTAAAAGAGGCAAAACTGAACATGTATCTTATATACGGGTATCAGCATATATGCTAATTTTTTTTTGTTGGAAGAGGTTAAGAGTCACTTAAGTATTAAGATTGCTTGATCCTTCAGATCAGGGCAGTTACTGAGATACTTAGGTCAAACAACGCCATCATTTATAAGTATAGAGGGAAACTATGTCAGTGTACTTAACACTGGACAGCTTGTGATTTTAGCAAACTATTTCATCAGCT